TATGCCTTGCATCTCCAGTCCAATCAAGAGAAGAAAAGGAGGAGGAGCAAAAATAAATAGATCTATATATTTTCAAGCAGTATTGTTTTAGGTAATTTGACTGAAGTTAGTGAAGGAGACACAAGCAGCTTGCTTTTACTCATGCTGGGCCTGTGTGGGAGTGGGAGTTAGTCTATGTAATTTACACTACTTTAAGACTGGTTAGGCTTAGGTTACAGCTGTGCGTGACTAACTTCTGCAAGTTAGTCACACACAGCTTTTTTTTTTTTTTAAACCCTTTTTTATTTATTTAATATATACTTCTGTTTTTAAAAATGTTGTCTTTTATCCACTATAAAGTACACTTTCTCAATGCAATACATATTTTTATTTGGAAAACAGTAACACCTTTATTCAGAGTGGTGTGTTGAGGAGCTATTTTACCTTTAAATGGCTATTTCAGTGGAACTGAATATATGGTTATGCCGGACTTTGGACAGAGTAGTGATTACCGATATATACAATATGTATGGTGTGTATACCTTTAAATCTGCTATAGGCAGACTCAATCTGTTACGCACCAAATAGTCTGCTTAATAAAAGCAACTATGTAATACAGAACAACGACATGGAAAGTAGTTGTCTGTTATATATTATAATATACCAAGTGATACAAAAAATGATGTGTAAAAAAATAATGCTTGGCTGAAATCGTAAGTTGTATGGATTTCTTATTCACATTTCTTAATGCTATATTGAAATCACTTATAACATTTAGCTATAATATTAAAAATGAAATTCCCAAAAAACACTATTAAAAAAGTAGAATTAATAAAAATAATATAAAAATTTATTCACAATAAGATATATATAAAAAAACATGTATAAAAGTATTGCAAGTAAAAAATAAAGGTCAGGAACGATTAACAAGTATATTGCCACCAGAACGATCGTCCTTATAGCATAATAACCACTGGGACCGGTTAAGATTACTGTAGATACTTTGTATCAAAAAAGAAATCGCTGTACTTGCCGGCTGCCTGTGAGGTTGGCGTGCGTCCCAAACCTCACTCTGGGCGGTAAGTGCAGACAACCCGTTGGTCCCCAGATCGTGGATGCTGTACGGAAAGGAGAGAATTTCTTTCTGCCGGTTTCAGACTGTGTTCGTATCCTGCTTGCTGCTGTCTTACGCGTTTCGTGGGTGTCAGCCCCACTTCATCAGAGACATACTGGAGCTGTATCCTGATGTGTGATTTATATACAAATCTAATACACAAGCAATTAACCTTCATGTGTAACTTAATGTTAAGACATAGATATGATATACACAGGATACACGCATATTTGAAAATCAAAACATAGAAAATAAATAAATAAAACGGAAATTTGTTAAAAAAATGTGTGTGTATGTTTATAAGTTAGTGGTTTAGGATTTCAAATGGTGATGGATATAATCTTAAGAGTTACTTTATAAATACTTAGGAGTCCTATATGGGGGTTAGGAACATAGGATGAAGGATATTAATGATCAATTTGGAGGTAATACTTCCTTATAATTTATTAGGTATCGCTGATATATTATGAAGATATGCAAAAGCAGAGAATAAAATTATATGGTGTGCAGAGGTATCTGTAGTAGATTTCATTGATCAATAAGCAATATGGTGACCTTAGAGAATAAAATTATTAAAATAAATGGAATAAGATACAAATGGATGTTAGTATGTAGGTGAAATGGGTAAATATGTAAAAAAAGTAGATACAAAAATAGGCTGGATAGAAAAGAATAAAAGTGGGTGTTGATATGTAAATGAGATGATTAAATGTGTGAAAACTGTAAGAACTATTCTAAGCATTCTAACAGTAAGGGACGAGAAAGTGCAATAAAGGAATGTTGTATAATTGGGTCAGTCCAATTATTGTGAACCATGGAGATTATAAAGTGCAATGAGTGAATAAGGATAACAATAGGTGGAATTAGTGTGAATGACAAAAAAAAAAAAAGGGATGATAAAAGTATATATTCCTAAAATGAATAAATCAAGTGAATAATGTGTATGAGGTAAGAAGGAAAAGGTTTGAAGGAATTTATATCCATGTATGTGTATATATTAAGAACTATATGAACATAGTGTCTCAACTATTAAGAAAAAAAAAAGAAAAAAAAGTGTTTTTGGTGTAATGACCAATTCTACTTACAAATTGAGGGAAATGCCATGGGGACTCGTTTTGCGCCAAGTTATGCAAATTTATTTATGGGCAAATGGGAGGAGGAGTTCATATGGAACCATTGCCCATTTGGCGCAAACCTGTCCCTAAGGCGGAGATATATAGATGATTGTTTCTTCATTTGGAAAGGGGATGTGGATTCTCTTGAACTGTTTAAGACCTACCTCAACAATAACCCATACAATCTAAGATTTACTTTTAACCATTCATGTGAACAAATTGAATTTTTAGACCTTAATATTTATATAGAAGAGAACCAAGTACAGACTAAGACTTTTTAAAAAAAACAGTAGACTGTAATAGTTTTATCCCTTTTAACAGTCATCACAAAATGACCTGGCTCAAAAACATTCCATACAGTCAATTTAGGAAGATTAGAAGAAACTGTTCGAATCTACAAGTATGTGGTGAACAAATGGAAGAAATGCAACAAAGATTTACCGATAAGGGATATCCTACAACATTACTCACTGAGGCCAAAATAAGAGTATAAGCTATCCCAAGTGAAGATACTCTCAAAAATAAAAACAAAAAAAAGACTACTGATACATATCAATCAGTACCTGCTTTCATAACCCAATTCAATCACCAATCCCGCACTATAGAAAGAATCATAAAAAAAATTGGAATATCCTCAAAAATGATCCTTCCCTCACACAAATTCTGGAGAATCAACCACATATCATTTTTACAAAGGCACCCAACCTACAATTAATGCTGGCCCAACTCTCAAGTCCCACAACGATACACAGGACAGAACAGCTACGAAAAGCTTTAAACGATGTAGGGAGTGTGTCGCATGCAAAAATAACCCTCTTCTGGAACTTGAAATTACCAAATTCACATCCATGGACAATATGGAAGAGTACAACCTAAAGACCAACATGAACTGTGACACCAATGGGGTGATTTACCTCATCACATGCCCATGTTTAAAACACTATGTGGGACGAACAAAAAGGGCATTAAAAACAAGGATGGCGGAACACATTCGGAATATCAAAAAGGGACTCCAGACACACAATCTTTCAAAACATTTTCAAGAATTCCATGGAGGAGACCCTACCGGACTGAGATTCCTACCCATTGAAAAAGTAGATGTCCACTGGAGAGGGGGCGACATAGAAAAAAATTTGGATCAAACTGAAGCAAGGTGGATAATCCACTTAGAGACTCTGGCCCCCAAAGGCCTCAATATAGATTTTGAACTTAATGCATTCTTATAGATAATGGACATACATTTATTGTATTATTATATATTATATTATATTATTCACACTTTTTTTTTCTTAATAGTTGAGACACTATGTTCATATTGTTCTTAATATATACTCATACATGGATATAAATTCCTTCAAACCTGTTCCTTCTTACCTCATATACATTATTCACTTGATTTATTCATTTTAGGAATATATACTTTTATCATCCCTTTTTTTTTTTTTTCTCATTCACACTAATTCCACCTATTGTTATCCTTATTCACTCATTGCACTTTATAATCTCCATGGTTCACACTAATTGGACTGACCCAATTATACAACATTCCTTTATTGCACTTTCTCGTCCCTTACTGTTAGAATGCTTAGAATAGTTCTTACAGTTTTCACACATTTAATCATCTCATTTACATATCAACACCCACTTTTATTCTTTTCTATCCAGCCTATTTTTGTATCTACCTTTTTACATATTTACCCATTTCAGAATGAACTTCTCTCCTTTCCGTACAGCCAGGGCCACCATCAGGGCATGGGGCCCGGCGGTCCTGGGGGGCCCGGACTGCTCAGGTCGTCTGGGCCCCACATTCAGTGGGTACATGCAGGGGTCGCAGGGGGTCCTGCGACCCCGGTATGTACCCACTGGGCCAGCCTCTTCTCCTGGGGGGCCCAGCAGCCGGTCACCTCAGGGCCCCCCAGAGGCTGGCCCTGCTGACAACCGGCGGGCACGCGAGGGAGCACTCTCCTCTGTGTGCTTCCTCTTCAGCTCCCTCGTGCCGCGTACTGATGCCAGAGCCGGAAGATGACGTCATCTTCCGACTCCGGCATCAGTATGCGGCGCGTAAGGGAGCTAAAGAGGAAGCACACAGAGGAGAGTGCTCCCTCGCGTGCCTGCTGGGTGTCAGGGAGGAAATTTGAGTGGGGTGGGGAGAGGGAGGGAGGAAATTTGAGTGGGGGGGAGATGGAGGGAGGAAATTTGAG